AAATTTATCGTAAAACAATATTCCGCGTATATTTTCGAAACTATTAGTAACAATATTAAAACTTATTCACAATCATAACCATTTAAAGTTATTTGTAAGTAAATTAACATGTTCCTTGTGGAACATTATATTTTTTTTTACTTTACTTCCACCATGTATAAATCACTTTTTTTAATTTTAATAATCTAATTTTTCCAGAGTTTGGAATATCTAAAATTTCAAAAAATAGATTAATAAATCACAATATATTTATTTGTGGGAGAAAAAAAAATGTGAATTTATGAATGAACCCATAAATTATCTTTAAAAAGAACATAACTCCCACCAATCATAATACTGCTTAAAAACATAAATAATGAGAATAGCAATTACGCCAATTAGATTCTTTTTTCTTTCTAAATTTTTTTTAATATTCATTTTCTTAAATCGTTAACAATTTAAAAGGTAAGATATTTAAAAAAAAATAATCTTCAATGTAATTAATTATTCAAATTTATTTAACAAGACTCAGAAAAAAATTGCGAAAGTTTTTGTAAAAAAAAATGGAGGCAAGGCCTGGTCTGTTAAGAATTTTTGCACAAGTTAACTGGCCCATTAATATTTTCTGTCCGGCCCAGTCTGTGAAATTTTTATTTTACCCTGGCCCAAAATTTATGATCAAACCCCATCCAGCTCATTAAAATTTTACTGGTCCAAAATGGCCTGGATTTTTATTTTGGCATTTCCCAGCCATCACATCTTTAATATCTATATCTAATTTCCCCCCCCCCAATGTCAATTAAGGCCCTTATATCTCTCCATTCTGGTTATCTATTTCTATAACAACCATTCTATAAATCAATTGGTTTATATCATAATAACTTGTTAAATTTCTTGTTAATTTACTATATTATTTATAGATTTAATATTTTGTTAGCCAGCTCAGATACAAAGAAATTAGTATAGTAATTTATTTTTGGGTGGTAAATCAACATATTAACTTGAAATTGAAAATTTTAATGCCTTTGGCTGTTCAAATTTTATGAAAAATAAGAGATTTGCATTATTCTGAATGATTATTTATATATATACTAGCTGATAGCCCGTCAAGAATTCCATTTGGATAAATAATAAATTTTACCTTCATTTGACAATGGATGAATCAGAATAATAGTCAAATGAGAGGAATAGATTATTCGTATTCATCCTTCCAAGACTCTATATATTTTTAGAGAAAAGGCCAAATATATTATGAAAAATATGTAATAGAAAAAATATGATTTGTGAGTTATGATATTTATAAATTCTTTTTTCCACATCCAGACGCAATGGTTTTTGGCTTCTCACTTCTTATAAAATCTACATTCTTCTCAAAGAATCATTTAAATGCTTTTAAAACCTTCCTAAATACTCTTTTAAAATAAGACCTGCCATCATAGATTCGAATCAATTATGGGGACACCTAATTATCTTACAATCACTGTGGTGATATCCACCCCATTGCAATGGGCTATTTAGAAGATTATTGGAAAAAATAATTGCCATGGGTCAAAACCCAGGGTCTTAACTTATTAAGTATACTAATCAATTAGGATTTGGTGTTAAGGGAGAAGGCATAGCTTCAAAATCCTCCTCCTAACATGGCTATTATCAAAGTAGACTTTAAAAATGCTTTCAATAGCAAATTTCGTGAACATTTCATAAATTGTTTTTATCCCTAATTTCCTGTTTATTCAAAATTCCTAGACATACACCATTACATACACCATTAAAACTCCTTTATTCAGCCCACATGTCATAGATTCTGACAAAAGGATTCAGCAGAGGGAAAACGTCCTCGTTTATATTACCTTGGTATTAATATCTCATCCATTATCTTAAATCTAAATTTGATTTGGATATAAATATTAGGTATCTTGATGATGGAACAATCTGTGATGCTCTTCCTAAAATAATTGGTTTTTAATTTCTTGAAGCCAATTTTAAAAGACACATTCTTAATAAGTCCAAATCCGAAATCTGTTTCCATGATAGCAATATACAAAACCCTCATCTAGCAAAATTAAATTTTTTATTGAGTACATAAATAATAAAAAAAATAAGAAAATTAATATAATTAAAAAAAAGTAAAGTTGGATTAACAGAAAAATACATTGCTGGGATTCGAACCCAAAGCCATCAGATTCGTAAGCGACGCTCTTGCCGATTGGGCCACTGACGCTTTTCAAAGTTGACGATTTTTTAAATATATATGATAAATTGTGACACTGTGACTATCACACCTCTTTTATATATATTATTATAGATAGATAGATATATGTTTATGATGTATAAGATGGTAATGTTAGATATTATTTTAATGGATGCTTTGATGAATGAGTGTTTGACATAGTATGATGCTTAAAAATACTATTGGCTATTACTTTGTGAAAAATTTTTAAATATAAGATTACCTATTTAATAGTTTAAATTTTAAAATAGCAACAAATTTTGAATCGTATGTGAATATGTAACACTTAATTATTTTATCTTCTATTTAATTAATTTTGCCAGATTAAGTAAAAAAAATCTTTACTGGGATTCGAACCCCAATGACCTTCAAATTTGTGAGCGAGGCTCTTTCCGATTAGGCCACAGACGCTTTAAAAAAAATAGTGAATTTTTAAATATATAAAATTGTGACACTGTGATAGTGACATTGTGACACGGTTTTTTTATATATTATTATTATTATTATAGATCATAGATAGATATTATTAGATGTCATTTTTTTAGATAGATATTATTAGATGTTATTTTTTTATTATATAATTTATAAGTTAAGTAAAAAACATTAAAATAATACATAAAGAGCCAAATAAACCAATATAATAATTTTTATACATTGGATAGGCAAGTTAAACAAAATTTTAAATAAGTGAGCAGGTGTACCAAAACTTGCCCATTGCAGACCTCTAATCAGGATGACATCAGAAACGGCAGATCATAATGAATTTTACCTCTACCAAAGAATCCATTTATAAATGATATGCATCTGCCACTTTTATTTTCCCATGCATTTACCGCAAGAGGTCTGCAAATGACAACATTTTCAAATCCAATGGGAATTTAGTTAACATCTCAAAGGACGGAACCACCAAGTTGGATTAAGAAAAAAAAATAATCATTGCTGAGATTCGAACCTAAGTCTATCAGATTTGTAATCGACGCTCTTACCTATTAGGCCATAGACACTTTTCAAAATTCACGATTTTTGTGATGTGACTCTGACACTGAGAGTGTGACGGCTTTTATAGATATTATAGATATATCAGTTAGTTCTAGTGTGTTTATATATATATGATGATGTATAAGATGGTAATGGTTTTATGGTAATGGAAGATGAATAAATGATTGATAAGATAAGATTCTATGGTGATTTTTATTGAACGAATATTTTTTAAAAGAATATTAAACATTTAAAAATATAAGAATACCTATTTAATACTTTGAATTTTAAAGTAGCTAACTTTGAATCGTATCTATTTGATTAATTTTGTCAGATTAAGAAAAAAAAATATTTTGCCAGATTAAGAAAATTTTTTTTTGGTGGGTCGAACCTAAGTCTAATAGATTTGTAAACGGCGCTCTTACCAATTGGGCCACAGACACTTTTAAAATTAACGATTTTTTAAATATATTATAAATTGTGAAAGTGTGACTGTCACAGCGTGACAAGGCTTTTATATATATTATAGATAAATTACAAGGCCTAACCTGGCTCAAAATTTTTTAATCAAATTACCTGGCCCATTCCTAAGAGCCCATTTTAATTTTTTTTTAATTTTTCTGAACCAAAGGTCTGACTTTTATTGGGTGGGTCCAATTATGCAGATCTGTAAGAAAAATGATCAATTTTAGTTATTTCCTTTTATTTATTTTATAAAAGGCTAAAAATATTATTTTTTAAAAAATTGCAATTATGCAAATAAATTTGTATTGCAATTTTAAAAAAATATAAATGAGATGCATGATATTTGTAAATATGAGACATGGTTATTTTAAGGTCAGGTCAAAGATTTTAAAATTTAGCTATCTTATCACTGACATAAGTATAAACCTGAAAATTGAAATGTTTTTTTGTTGAATATTTTGTAAAGATGGACCAAACATTGATCATTTTTAAAAAATCACTTCAAGCTTGAGATATTTTGAACTGGGCAAGTTTATTCTTAGTTTGGAAAGTCAGTACAAGATTTTAAAATTCCTAAATCACCCTTGTATAAAGTTTTTAAATTTAGGAGTTTTTATTAATAGTTTGAAAGGGTGATGTATATTTAAACAGACTCATTGTGCAACCCTGTCAGGACTTTGCAGCAAATTTTTTTAGGCCTAGATCAGATTAATAAATACTACCCATAAGTCCAAACAGCTGGTCACTCATAATTTATATTAACATGTTATCTTAATAATAAAAATAATGAGATTGACTTGAATATGCCTAATATTATATATCCAATAACAATTAACATACCTATTATTTTTATTCCTATTAGGTAAATAAAAATCAAGATATTTAATTGATTCCAATAAAATTTTAAATAAAGAATAAGACAATGATGTTGGGATTTCATTAATTATATTATAATAGAAGTAAATATTAAAAATATTTATAAAATTTTATTGTTTATATTATATAAACTGGTCAGAATGGACTCTTGAGCTCTATCAGCATCAACATCCATTTTAGAAAAATATTTAAAATTATGGATTCCTTACCATAAAATATTAATATACCCATTATTAATGTTTAGATTAATGTCTAAATGATTCAAAGAAGCACCTGTTCAGAATAATTAATAAGAAAATAAAGATCAGTTATACTATTTTACGATTTTAATTAACTCAGTGCTTAATATATATATATTTTTTAATTATATGAATATCTCAGTAAATTTACATCAGGTAAATTATGATAAAAATACAATTAATTTTAATAAATTATATATCCGTTTAGATTTTTATATAAAATTATAAAATACCTTAAATGGAATCTGTAGTTTTAATAATAATTTATGATTCATCAAGCGAATTAACAGAAAATAACCTTTTTAAAATTTACAAATAATCATTAATTCAAAATAGCATCATGCATTGTGCATTTTTTGATAAATTTCCATCTGAATTCATTAACTCGGAAAAATTTTTGAATATATATCATAATCATAGTATATAATTTATATTTCAATTCATATTGGGAATTTATATTAAGCTGAATATATGATGTTAGATATTAAAATATATTATATATAATTTTGTTGATCTAAAACCCCAATTTGTTTTTCTGAAATATGATCATTATCATTGATACTATTATTAGCACAATTATATTAGTACGGTAGTTATTGCAAGTTTATAATTCTGTTAAATACGTAACCGGGACAAAATACAGATAATTTTTGGGGGCCTAACCGATTGAAATACAAATTATTTGGGGAGTCAATGAAAATATATAACATTTTTGGACGATGGAGGAAAAAGTTTTTTTAATATTCATAATTATCAAAATAGGAATTTTATCAATATTTCCTTACGCTTTATTTATATATTAAAATTAAAATATATCCGGAAAACTGATCGCATTAAAGAAAATAACTAATTTATCTGGGAAAGAATTGTGCGGTTTATTTAGCGATTGTTTTGAATAATATGATTCAATTCAAAAATCTTGCATATCTTTTGTCGGTTAGCTAATTAAAAGGATTGCAACTATTATAAATAAATGGTGCTTTAGTCATCCTTAAATTCCTGCAGTAAAGTTAAGACTAAGAATTTAATTGGACTCCATATTAGAATTGCAACATTATTTAGAGAATCCAATAAATGTATGCATACAAGAGAATAAAAATAATTCTGTACGCCAGAAAAATTTAAGAAAACTTCAAAAGAACAGGGATAGGGTGGGCTCGAGGAAAAGCTTGTTCATCTTGCTATACCTTGACAAGTGTTTGTTACTTAAAGCAAACCAGTTCACACAAACCCGTTCAAAATTTATTTTTAAATAAATATAAATTCCTATATTCAAGACCAAAATTACTATAACAATCATAAATGATATGTAAGGGCTAATGTCTTGGTTGCCTATTAGGGTAAATAATTAGTATATATGATTATTAGGATTGAAGGATATTATAGATTCACTTCATTTAAATATACACATGAGTTAGGGGAAATCTTGTGTTGAATCAAGTTTAAACATATAACCTTTCTTTTTAACTACATTAATTTCCAGATCTAGAACCTATATCTACTACTCAATTATAATTTGTTTCAACTCCAAATGATAGCTCCCTATTATTTTTAAACACTTCATTCGTTAAAATCTTTTCTTCACATTAAGAGGGCATAAATGATGTTTCAATTTAATATTCAATCAGATTCAGATTCTCAAATTTATACTTATATTCATATACAGTGTCTACATGAGCGGAAATGGGGTGAGGGTAGGCTCAGTTTGTTTTCAATTTTTAAAGGGGATAAGGGACTGAAATAGAAATACACACATAAATCAGTTCGTATATCTGAGATGGATAAGGGTTTATTCCATGATTTCTGGCGCTCACAAAACATAATAAATGCATCAGGTTACAATCTGCACAACCTTCCGTATACTCCTGTAAGGTTGATTTCATTTTAAATGGCTAAATCATTTCCCAAATTTTTCGCTCATACTCAGCTAGTAGTTGGAGTAAGGAACAAATTCGAGCTGCAACATAGGCAGATTGATTATATTACACGAAAAATAAGAACGATGTAAAATGCGCATTTGCTACCTTCACTGTTTTCCAGTGGGGTAGCCAGGATTGATCCATATGAGTTAAAAAAAATTTTTAAATTTGCCAATATTTTGTTCTTTATTAGTGTCTAACCAATATAATAGCCAGCATAAATGAAAAAAAATATTAGTAACAAAATTTTGGCCAAATTTATGATTATTACGCGACTGCAAGCATTATTCTGAAAATTTTATTAATGTTTAGTCAATTGTAAATTAATTAAATCCATTAGGTGTAGAAAGAAGAACAATCCAAACCTCCCATTTTTTATGATACTCAATATATCTTATTTTGTGTTAAAATTAATTATTTTAATAAATTTTGCAGAGATTATAGATTTTATTTATTATTAAAATACTTTAGTATAAATAACACACCCTTTATTTAACTAATATTATTTTAATGATAACAAATGTGTATATTAATAAAACATTAATAATTCTTATTAAAGATCTGCAAAAGTAGGAAAATCGGGTTCGGGCCTAATATTTTTTTAAAAAATTCTGGTCGGGTCGGATCGGGCCTTGGAATTTTTTTTAAAATATATCCAAATATATCAATTTTATGTTAAATTTTTTAAGTTAAATAAAAATATTTGATTTTATTTATAAATACTAGACGCCATGTAACATATATCTTTTATTTTTATAAAAATGAATTTCTATATTTAAATAAATTCAGGCCAGGTCGACAAAACTTTTTTAAAAAAATTTAGGGTTCGGGCCGGCAAAACATTTTTAAAATAAATTCGAGCCCGGCCGGGCCGGGCTTGAAAAATTAGGCCCGATACAGATCACTAATTCTTATTGCTAATACAATATTTTTATTAAAAATAGTATAATATATAAATATTATGACTAAGAATTCATTATAATTACTTATTGAATATAAAAATTTTATGTTATAATAATATAGCAATTTTATGATTTGAATTTATAAAAAGAGGTGTATTTTTCTCTGAGATTTGACTAATTTATCTGGAATCAAATTTTTATCTAGAATAATCTCCTTATAAATATTTAATATTACGAATCACGACTTTCACCGGTGCTATTTCTAAAATAGGGTTTTAACCTTTTCAAAATTGTAGAAGACCTTTCATTAGTGCAGGTGCTAATCGGTAAGGTAGCAAAAATAAAAAGCAATGTTTTGATATTAGGCAGGAAATCTAAAGTGCTATTACACATGGAAAGGGCCTGCAAAGCATTTTTTGGTCTCAAAGAGTACTCTATTCTGTCAAAATTTTTATACCAAAATTCGACATCACAAAGTAGCTTATCCTACGATCCTAATAATTCATCCGAATAAAACTCTAAGACTTAATATCCTCTCGCGCAAATGTATATAGACTCAACTGGCTAATTATGAAGCTGTTTAGAATAAAATTGTGACTAATAAATCTTTCCTTTAATTGAAATAAAAATATATCAATAAGGGGAGTAAAAATATTTATTTTATAAAAATCCTCAATCGTAGATGCATCAATATTTAAGCGATTGGACTATCTAGAAACTACTCTAGGTTTAAAATTTTTAATCCCAAACATAATAGTTATCACCTTTACTTTCTCATTATATTTACCAAATTATATTTTCTTTTATTTAAAAATTATAGAAAATTAATTAAAATTTTTAAAATCTAATTAGTTTAACAATATAAATTTTATTATTAAATTTATAAATATCTAATTTAACTATGCTAGAAAAAATTTACAATATATTTTTATTGTTATTTAATATTTTACAATATTTTTTTTTTGTTATTTAATATTTTACATATAATTTTTAATATAAATTTTTGAACCATGTTATCATTTAAAATTGAAAATTCTTATTTGTTTTTTTAAATATATTTCATTTTCATATATTATATAATTTTATTTATAAATTGAAACCGTTTTTAAATAAAATTATTCGCAATAAGAAAAAAATTTTTAAAAAAAATTTTCTATCTAAAAAATATATTTTAAATTAAAAAAAATTTTTCGGAGGTTATGGGGAGGGGGGAGTTTCGACCCCAAACCCCTCCCCCCTTGTCAACGCCACTGCTGTTTTCTTAACCCTCTATAGTTTGATATATTTTTTGCTAAGGTATTTACATATTTTAATATACTTCTCATTATTGGTGGATATTTTTCATATAAGGGCCCAAAGTATTTTTAAACCTGGTGGCATAATGTGAAACATATGATATGAAGATCGCGCCAGAAAACACTTCCAAATAATATGACCAGGTAGGCATTTTGCTAGTGACGAAGCGTCCATAGAAGCAAGGGAAGCATTGCTTCCCTTGAAATATTTCTTACAAAATTTTTAAATAAACTTAATATAATCTTTGTACTATGCTGAATAAACTAAACTGACTTCGTTAAAGAGATTAATATAATTTTTATAACGTTAAAAAGATTAATTTAATTTTTATAACGTTAAAAAATTAATATTATTTTTACTATATTAAGAAAAACTATTATTTTTACTTACGTTAAAAAGTTACTATTATTTTTACTACGTTAAAAAATTTACTATTATTTTTTACTACGTTAAAAAAAATGTACATGAGGGAAGCAAATTTAATATTGCTTATTTTTTTTAATAAATAAAGAGAAAATCATGCCATGGTATTGTGTAATTTTACCATTAAAAAATAAGCATTGGGGAAGCAAATAAAAAAATGCTTGTATATAATATTTTTTTTCCTTACTTTTTTAAAATAAAAATTTTTTCGTTTTTAAAATCCTTAATTAATGTTTAATTATTGTATTATTGAAAATTTAATAACATTATCATTTAGCTCAAGAAATTTTAATGCGAAAAAATTGATTATTGAAAAAGGAAGACCAAAATCAATTTTACAAAACTTAAAAAAGGAAATCAAAATTTGCATCCGTAATGTTTCTATCGATAAATATGAAAAATATGAATGGCTCACTGGATGTGAATTTTCTAATTCTCTATATTGTTTGTGATGCCTATTATTCCCAAAGGAAAAATATGTTTGGGAATGATACAGGATTTTCGGATGTGAATAATTTTTCAAAGGTAGTTAAACGGCATGGAGAATCAAAAGCTAATTTGCAGTCCATGATTCAATTAAAAAAATTTGGCCAAAATCATATTGAAAATATGATAGATTCGATGCGCAAAATATCAATCGAACAGCATAATTCTAAAGTCAAATCAAATAGAGGAATATTAAAAATATTAATCAACTCTATATGTTTTCTCGACTTACACAAGCTGGAAACCTATAAAGAAAGTGTTTCGGGATGTTGAATATAGAAGAAAAATGAAAGTTAATGAAATACTTGAATTTTTAATATGTACCATTGATGAAAAGTTTTAAAGAGTTTTTTAAGTTATGCAAAT